CCCCAAAACCCCAAAACCCCAAAACCCCAAAACCCCGGGCTACAAGATCTTAATTGGAGTTCAATAAGTTAATTCATTAAATACCAAAAATGGCTTTTAGCTTAAGCTAAACTCTCAATGTGGAGAACTTCTACCCCAAGTGCCTTGTCAGCCACCATAGAGAGAGCTAAGTAGGGGTATAAATACCTATTTTAAATTCACGAAGCTCGGATCTGGAACAGATGAGTTCCCACCTTCTTCAGGACAAGTCTCGTTTCTATATCTGTAAGGGCGGAGGTCAGCAAGTTCCCTTGGTCTTGGCAAACACCGAGAGCTATAGAGTAATCACAAGGAAGTACATGTTCAACTGCATCTTCTGGATCTTCTTTGGTGAGATCCTCATGACCTTCTTCTTCATATTAGCTTTGGGCTTTCTTATGTAAGCATGAGCTGTATAAATGAACATGGCTAAATGGTCAGAATAAGAACTTACCAATGGAGAACATTGCATATAAGATGTTGTTCGACACTAAAATCCAGTAGAAAATGGTTGCCTTTGTATCATCCCAATCATTCTCTGAGGGATGGGACACCAAGAATAAGCACAAAGTAGCTATAAACATTTCGTTTCCTATTTCGGTGATGTTTTCAGAGGTTTTACTGAATGGTCGAATGACTCATACCAGCATTAAATGAGCAAGGTTGACCAAGGAGTAAAGACCCATCAGCAAGAAGCTATCGAATGGTTTATCCAATAGAGGATCCAGAGAGGGTCAGCAGGTAATTATCAGTCAGAGAGCTGCTCTCCTGACAAGAAACAGGAAAGGTTGCAGCCTAGCCCACCTATTGGGCTTGACCCCAGTATAAAGTTCTTCCTGAAGGAACTTTTTCATGTTTGATTGGTTTGGCCTTATCAAAAGCCATACCGCCAAGATAGTGAATATTGCAATTAAACAAATTGAAGCAAAGAACAAAGAGAAATAGAATGAGTGTTCTTCCGGTCCTGTCGCATTGACTTTGCACCTTCTCAATTCAGAGAAGGAACATAATCATAAGCTGATGAATCCTTCAAAGATTAATACCACATACATTTGGAATATGAAACTTCAATATGCTTTCTTGATGAATCGAGCTCAGAGTTTATTTAGACTTGCCCACTCATTTTTTGGCGATCCACAATATGAAGTGCGTGATTATATAAATGATGAGCATGCAGACCAGAGTGTTCAGATTGATGAGTGCGCTTCCAGAACTGATTTCAATGGTGTCAAAGTCATCTCTGGGCTGATCAAAATCAAACCATTCCCCAATCTTTTTAAAGACTATGAAGAAGCTCCAGTCAATGTTGATGTCTATCATAGCTGTTGAAAGAGTTCGCAAGTAAGTCACAGCTCTCAAGGGTATAAAGACTTTTCATACCAAGAACAGTATCAACAACTGAAGCTGATTAATTGAAGAGAGAATAGAGTTTGTTGATGAACTGCTCAAAGATCCTCCAATTGTGTTCATGAATACTAGAATTGGAATGGCACATAAAGTCACAATTTGTAACGATTTCTCACTTGTAGTCATAGGAACTGATTTATAGTTTCGAGTACATACATTTGGGAATGAAGTATCTCATTTCCAAGCAAGCTCAATTTCGCTACAATCAGAAGATCAGCCATCACCACCAATAGTGTTACCGTCATCTCAGGCTTCTGAGCCAACTCTCTGTCCATCGCCTCACTTAGTTATTCATTCTGTTGGCTGAACCGAATCATTTGGATAAAACCCAGACGAGCACAGTCTTCATGTGTCTTTATTTGCTGAGTCTCCTCCAGTTCACACATACCCAGACTCTATTGTGCAGTCTGATTTGCATCCGTCTCCATCAGAAATGTTGTTATCATCACAGATTTCTGTGCCGACTCTGAATCCATCACCTCATTTGGTAACTCAAGAGGTTGGATTCAATGGATCATTCTGATAAAACCCTTGGGTGCACTCAGTTCAAACGCTTTTAGTCATTGTTGTTCCCCCTGATCAGGCCCAGCTAGGCTCTACACCAGTGCAATCAGACTTGCACCCATCTCCATCAGCAGTGTTTGCATCATCACAGACTTCAGTATCAATGACAAAGCCATCACCTCACTTAGGCCTGCACTGGTCAGTGGTCGAAGGAGTTTGTTCGTATTTATCAGGACAAACTGCAGATACCTGCAAAGGACTTGTGTCTACATCAACAGTGGCTGCATAATTCTCAGTAGGAATTAAGGTCTTTCCGGACCCAAAATTCCAATATAATTTTAGCTTGGCTCCTTCAGTCTTATCCTTCCAGTCAATCTCTAGGTCATATGTCTCAAATGCATTGAAGTTGTAGCTGAAATTTTCTGTATCGAACATTGTTTTACCATAATTATTCATCTTCGTCACTCCATTTATTTGGCTATAGAGTTTATCTGTAAACTTACATAGTAGCTCCATCATCTTGGAGTACTGATATAGTACAAGCTCCCGACCGGAAGGGAGTCAGCTTACCAGTGAACTTTGCAGCTACATTGTTTTTATGCCCAGGCGTTATATTCCCTTTTCCAAAGTCAAAATTGATGGTTCTAGATTATGAGCATTAGATATTTTGTTATCAAATTTTAATTCAAATAAAATTAAAGAAAGGAGTTTTGTCGAACAAGATATGTTCAAAATTATTGCTTCCTAATCTGAAGCTATCCTCCTTGCTGGATCTGAACCAAAGATATTGCAAATGTATTGGATAGTTGCGAGGAGCTTACGCTGACGTGTTGGTCACATCTGGAGTTCCAGAAATACTCCCTGAATTGTAGTATTTTGCAATGATGTCTTGATGTCCTGACCTAAGGACTGATATTGTTGCATTTCCAATATGATTCAAATTTAAACTAGCTGAATATATCCCACTTCCACCGTGAGTGAGCTTAACGACCTCCTCTTCACCATTCGTTGCACTCTGAGTGAAGGTAGAGGCGACTCATGTCATATTTGGACCCCTAGTGCAAGGATCCGTAATACGTGCATAGATATCCTCTCCTCCAGCTGTTAAAACATTACCTGAAGAATCTTTAGCCTGGACTTTGAGAATGTAAGTCTGATTTATGACCAAACTCTCTCCGGATGTGACTCCAGAGATAGGACTCTGTGAGGCATCAAAAGTCAGTGCTACAGAAAGATTCAAAACAGAGTTGATCATTTTACTAATAATCTAAAAAACACCAACAATATTTAATCAGAAAACTAAGGCGGCAGCTCGGATCTCTTGGCTTATAAAAATTAACAAAATTTGTCCTAGCTATATTTCAAATATTTTGAAATAAAAACCTATCTGTGTGGTCATATGAAATTGTAGTATAAAAGCTGAGATGTTTGCAAACAGGAAAATTCGTGGCTAAGTCCCTTTAGGCCCTCTAACATGAGTACTAAATCCACCGTTCTTTCGTCATATGAATGTAGTCATAATAAACATCCTATCGGGGCTTCCTTCGAAGGTTCTTTTTATTAACAGAAATTTGGCCAAAAGGTCACCTTATGCTACTCTAAACTGAAGAATTGGAGACTGATCTTACTTGAGTATGCCAAGCACAAGGTCACTGCTATAAACAGCATCAATTTGGATCTATAGATGAAGAGTCAACTTCTGTTAACAATTCTTGTTGGAAAAAGCCAAATAATTACGTTATCACTAATATTCTGGAAAACCCTCATCGGCATGATGTCATCGGCTGTTTATAGCCACAGCCTAGAAGGGGCGTAACGTTTGTGTCAGACAAAATCATAAGGGAAAACTTAGATCCAAGTCTGAAATGTTTGAATGGATCTAGATGTGACATAGAAATCTTCGATGATGCACACCACGAACGTCCGAGACATCTTACCTATCTATTTTGCTCATTGTCAATAATTGTATAATACCTAGGGGTTTTGGGGTTTTGGGGTTTTGGGGTTTTGGGGTTTTGGGGTTTTGGGG